CACACAGCCACACAGACACACACACACACAGCCACACACACACAGCCACACACACAGAGAGACACACACGGACACACACACACGGACACACACATACAGACACACACAGCCACACACACACACCACACACACAGCCACACACAGCCACATGCACACAGAGACACAGACACACACAGCCACACACACACAGCCACACACAGACACACACAGCCACACACACAGCCACACATGGACACACAGCCGCACACACAGCCCCACACACAGCCACATGCACACACAGACACACACGCACACAGACACAGACACATACATACACAGACACACATGCAGCCGTACACACACACACACACGGCCACACACACACAGACACACACACAGCCTTTGGAATGAGTAAAACCTGGATAAAAAATCAGCTCTGACCTATGACCCAGGAGGTCACGGTTCAATTCCCCGTCAGGGCACACACCCGGGTTGTGGGCTCCATCCCCAGTGTCGGGCGTGCAGGAGGCGGCCGATCCATGATTCTCTCTCATCATTGACGTTTCTCTCTCTCTCTCCCTCTCTCTTCCCCTCTGAAATCAATAAAAACATATATTCTTTAAAAAATCATCTCTGTCACTCGTGTGACCTTGAACAAATGACCAATCCCTGCTGGATGGTGAATGGGAACACAGGCCCCTTCCCCATCTCCATCCGCCCCCTCCTCCCCCCCCGTGGGAGATACAGTGACGGCCACGGCTCAGCGAGCTGTGAGGCCTTGGGAACCTGGCCAACTCCCCGGTCAAGAAAACAGCTAGCAGCTTTGATCTCACACAGCTTACACGGAAACACACCCCCTTCCCCATGCACGCCCTGTTTTCCTCTGACTTCTGTTCTCTATAAAACCTTGTGCTGGGGAAGTCTGGAGGGGGCGGGAAAACCATAACAGCGCCAGCCAGCTGCCCTGGTGTGGCCCGACTGCAGGCTGGATGGGACTTCGCGGTTCCACGGCACTGGTGGCAGCCAGTGTGGCGGGAAACCCTGTGTTCCACAGCTAGTCCACTGGGTCATTTCTCTGGGAATCCAAGAACAATACGCTCAGGTTTTCTGGGATCTCAGCACTTTGCACAACACCCTCTGAGCCGGTTTCTTCACCTCCTTCTAGGGTTGTTGCCAGAATTGCGTGATATACATGGTTCTTGGCACCCCCGCCACCCCACACGTATTAATCGTATTAATTCTCCATGTTGGGCAAATGGAATAAACGAGCATCCAGCCATTTCAACAAGTGTACATTTTATTATGGAAACAGCGGGGAAGGGTTGAAGAGGGTCTGGAAGGAGGGTTATGGGGGAAACCCCTGCCAATGCTCACTCAGCTGCTCACTCAGCTACTCTCTCAGCCCATCTCCGTGTGGCCCTCGGAGACGCCTTCCCACCGTGCCTCTGGGCAGACAGGTGCTATTCCTCAAAGGACCCAATTCGTTACCCTCCACATTTGCAGTCCAGGGCACAGAGAGGTTTCGTGGGAGGTGAGACTGTCTGGGAGATGGAGGACCTATAAAGGTTGAGCTGAGATGGAGCAGGGTTGCTAGAAAGAACAGCAGGGGTCGTTTCTAAAAAAGGAAGAAAAAGAAAAGAAATGTATTTGTGCATCAGTTTGCATATTGGACCACTCTCCTCACTCACTAGGCTCCACTCACTCTGTCCCTCCAACCTACAGGGTTTCCCACCACCTGAGACACACTTCCATAGATCTCAGTAAATGAGGACTCCTCCCCATGACTCAGTACAAATATCTCCTCTTCAGAGAGGGGTTCTTCTAACCAAGCACTAGAAGGAAGGCGCCCTCTCCAGTTCCTCTGTGTCACAGCACCCCCTCGTGCCTTCCCAGGAAACTCATGTGGTTTAGTTTGCCCCCTGCCCTCCCACTAGAGGGAGACCTTCATAGGCTCAAGGACCTCCTCTGTTACAGCCCCACTGTACCCCCAACATGGCACACTGGAGCACACAGGGTTGGTGCAGGGAGTGAATATATAAAGTTTTCCCTGGGAACTGGAGTCTCAGGGACAGATTAAGTAGACTCTTGCTCCCAGAGGGGCTCACAGTCTGGTGCAGGGGTCCACTAACAACAACAACAAAGCTTAAGGGTGACTCTAGCTTCCACCCCTTTTATAGTTTTTTTTTTAATTGTGGTAAAATCCACATAACATAAAATTTATCATTTTAACTAATCCAGGCTTTGTCAGAGAGTAGTTGCCCAATAAAAATTTATTGAGGGAGTTCCTCAATAACTGAAACAGAGAACTATAAAACAACCCAGCAATTCCACTCCTACGTATGTGCCCAAAAGAATTGGAAACAGGTGTTCAAACAAAGATGTGTTCACAAATGGTCACAGCAGCACTATTCACAACAGTCAAAAGGTGGAAAACAACTCAAATGTCCTTCAACTGATAAATAAAATGTGGTATATCCATTCAATGGAATACTATTCAGCCATGCAAAAGAATGGAGTACTGATACATGCTACAACCTGGATGAACCTTGAAGACAGTGTCTTAAGTGAGACACAAAAGGCCACATAGTGTGTGTGTGTGTGTGTGTGTGTGTGTGTATGAGAGAGAGAGAGAGAGAGAGAGAGAAAGAGAGAGAGAGAGGGAGGGAGAGGATTAGTGGTAATTGGCTCAGAGGTGTAGAGACTAGATTAGTGGGTAGAGAGACTGCGTATGGGGACAGAGTTCCCTTGGGGATGATAAAAATTTTCCGGAGCTAGATAGTGGTGATGGTTGCACAACACTGTGAATGCATTAAATATCACGAATGGTAAACTTTGTCCTGCATACTTTACCACAACTGAAAAAATAAGCAATATAAAATTCATAACTTAATTCCTCCAGCTCTCCAAATCCCTATCGTTTGTGATGCTCTTCATGGGCCATGTCAAGTAGTGGCTTGAGATGAACATTGGAACTTTTTATATAATTCTGTGATTCTGTGATTGGAGTGTCCAAATCCACCTGGAGTTCCCTACTCAAACACTAGGCAGTTGGGACCAAGCCCTCCCACCCCGGGAGTGGGCAGCCCCCCCACCCTTCCTTGCCATAACATACCTGATGTCCATTTCGGTGCTACAGTAGTGGCAGTAGCACTGGGAGGTTGACAAAGGGGTGAACCAGAAACAGAAAGAAGTGGTAAGGGTGAGGCGAGTCATCTTGCCCCCTTCCACCCCCTCCTCCGTGCC